CTCAACGCCCCCCCCCCCCCCGTGCACGAATTTCGTGCACAGGGCCTCTAATATATATATATATATTTTTTTTTTCAATAAATTAACTGTTAAATGCTTAATGCTATGGCACAGACTGTAGAACACTAATTGCTCAGTAAATATTTATTTAAAAGCAAGAAGAATAAATATATAAAATATGCCATAGGTTCTATGGGACAGGCAGTGGTGTGCTGGAACCACTTGCTCTGGCTCATGAAAGGCACTGTTGCCCTGGCCAGGTGGTTGGAGTGTCATCCATGCACAAAAAAGGTTGCAGATTCCATCCCCAGTCCAGCAGGCATGAGAGGCAACCGATTGATGTTTCTCTCTCATATAAATGTTTCTCTACTTCTCTCTCTCTCTCAAATCAATAAAGCATATCCTTGGGTGAGGGGGGAAAAGGCAACTGTTAATTGTTTGAAAAATATGAAAGCCAACTCACTTCACATTGGCACTTTAAAATTGGCCATTGTAGTAGTGGTAAAACCACTAATAGACATCAACAAATACCATCAATCAAACCTCTCCATCCCAAAACCTGTTAAACATTTAGCAGCATACTTTTGGGTACAAAAGCACCTAATCCAGTAGGGGGTGGGGAGAAGGTAACACCTGAGTTTAGGCTTTAAATGATCATTAGAAGTATCTACAGTGGAACAGTAGAAGCATCTGGAGGCTCAGAACAGTGCATTGTGTGTAGGAAGCCCTGCTTTGCTGGTGCTTACTGTTTGAGGCTGGTGAGACTGGGGAGGTTTGGCAAAGAACATATAATGGACATGTTATGTGGTGTTTTCTAGTCCTCTTCACCAGAATTAAAATCCATGAGGACAGGACCTTTATCTTTCTTGTATACAACTGTATCCTCAGCTCACAATAGCATCCAACATATAAAATATGCTCTATAAGTATATTTGTCATTGAATAAATAATGGCAATGGGAGCCAGAGAAAGGCTTTTCATGTTACACAGCTAAATTTGCCTTTTAGTGAATTACTTCAGTGGCATTCGGAAGATGGCTGAGAAAGGAGATCAGAATACAAGGCTATTAGAGGCTATTGCAGTGGCAAAAGACAGTTGAGGATTTTAGGTGACATGGTGTTATTACAGATGGAGAGGTGAGGGCAGAATACTTTAAAAATAGGTAAATTAATTGAAAGATGGGATAACAAAGAGGGGAGGGCCCAACATTTCTTTCCTCAAAATGGTTTTCAATCCAAAACCGGTTTGGCTCAGTGGATAGAGCATCGGCCTGTGGACTGAAGGGTCCCAGGTTCGAGGTCAAGAAGGGCATGTACCTTGGTTGCAGGCACATCCCCAGTAGGAGGTGTGCAGGAGGCAGCTGGTTGATGTTTCTCTCCCATTGATGTTTCTAACTCTCTATCCCTCTCCCTTCCTCTCTGTAAAAAATCAATAAAAATATATTTTAAAAAAGAAAACAAATGGTTTTCAATTCCACATCCTGAAACCATAATTGAGATTTTACTATTTTAAACACATGGATAAAGTGTGCAACCCTAGCCTTCCCTCTTTAAATAAGAAAATCACTTGCCTTCTACTTCTCTTTTGCACATCTCACATGCTAGAAAGCAAACCTGGTGTTGAGCCAATCAAAGACAACTTTAGGAAATAGCAGAGCAGCAATATAGAAAGAACTGGGATTTCTGAATGATGCAGCAATCTCTCTCTTGTTTGTTACATTAAATATCCATTTTGTTTGAAAAAAAACCTTAAAGAATAAGTTTCTGGCTACCTTTGCAGGGGTTTTTCATAAGTAAGAACATTAGGGTTAATGAGAATTATCTGTCAAGTCCAAAATGGAGGGGGAAAATGAAAAAATGAGTTGCTGCACACAATTACTACATTATTAAATTAGTGCTCTGCCCAGTGTCTGGCACAGTCAGTACTACGTAAGTGGAAATGACTATTGTCATTATTATGGTGAAGCAAAAGAGAAATAGAAAGGTCCATACACCCATTTACTTACTCTGAGAAAATCCCTAATGCACTCAGACATCATGAATACTTTTCTATAAGCAAAGTATTATACAAAAAGAAGAGAATAAAGATACTAAGCACTTAGGAATAGCTGAAGTTTAGCTAAATTATTCAATACTTTATAGCACTGTATTACACATTAAACCTTTTTATTTAGCTTTATTTTTTTTCTATAAACATGTTTTTTTCTTACTTGATATCCACTAAGAAATAGGTTGGCTCTTATAGTAGATGGTTTTGCCATATATTTAATAATTAACAGTGCTGTCCAGTAGAACTTAATGAAATGAAGGAAAAGTTCTACATCTGCTATTTCCAATAAGGTAGACAATACCCCATAGACACATATGGTCACTGAGTACTTGAAATGTGGCTTCCTTTCTGCCAACTGAGTACGTTTATATGAAAATAATCCTTAGGCTATTAAACTTCAGTCCATAGTGACCACAGCATACCATGATATGGTAAAATAAGGACAATGTAAAGATCTAACATTTAAAAAATAAAGTTAAATGTATTCAATTACTATATTTATATTTAGAAAATATTTTAAATATATCCTATATAATAAAAGGGTAATATGCAAATTGACCCTAACAGCAGAACGACTGGGAATGACTGGTCACTATGACACACA